ATATTTTGTAATAAGCAAGCTGTGTCCTCATTGTCCAAGGGCTGCCAAAAAAAAAAAAAAAAAAAAAAACCCCTCCCCCCCCCTCTCCTCCTCCTCCCCCCTTCCCCTTCCCCATGTCCCCCCCATCCCATGTGGGTGGTGTCTGACAACCTCTGCTGGCCCCCAGCTGTTGTGCCTGCCCGCCCATCAGGGCTGGCTTCAGGCTGACTCTTGAACTGCCACAAATTCACCATCACAACATGTTTTGCCTGTGCTTTCTCCTGCCCAGGATACCTTCCCGTCTTCCCTCTTGGTACACTCCTGATCTTCCCCCAAGACCCTGCCCAAAGGCCATCTCCTCTGGGATGCCCTCCCTTCCTTCCCTTCCCGGGCAGCCAGTCTCAGGCTCCCCTGGCGACCCTCGCCCCCACTGACTTGTAATGATGGATAAGGGATGCTGAGTGGACAAAGCAGGCAGGCAGGTGTGTGGGTACCAGCCAGCCGCACCCAGAGGAGGAAAGGGCAACTGGCCCTGGGAGGGCGCCCATGCCCAGAGTCTACTACTCAAGTAGGTGAGGAATAGCTACTCCTGGCAGCCCTTGGACAATGAGGACACAGCTTGCTTATTACAAAATATCCCTTTATTGATAAAATAGCTCAGACTTAAAAAAAAAAAACCTGCATATCACAACAAGGGAGTCACAGGCAACGATAGCAGGGGTCGCATGGGGCACACATAAGACCAGTCAGCAGATGTCATAAGCCAGCCCCTCCCCCGGGCCCAGCCTCCCCAGCCCTGCCCGGAGGCAATGCACTGGCCTCACACTGAGACCAGGGAATGAACTGGACAGCCTCCCACCCCGGGAGGGACTCTCTTTGGTCCCCTCCATTCTCTCCACCCCAGAAAACTCCCTCAGCGTCCCTCCAAGTCTAGCCAGGCCCATCAGCGTGCCAGCAGTGTCTGTGCTGCTCAGCCCCGCCCCCAAGGCAGGATGCTCACCGGCTGAATGGTGAAGCCAGGTACTCGCATGGGGAAGACTGCAAAACATCCTCCACATTCCCTCAACTGTTCCAGGTGCCAGTTCTGGGGTGGGCGAGGGGACCAGGAGGGAGACGCCCATGGAGGCCCACCAGTGGGGTGGAGCAACGTGGCTGGGTCTGAGATGGACAGACGGTACCCACCCGGGGTGGAATCAGTTATGCATCAAAGGGATCTATTTGGGGCTTGGAGCCCTGCCCAGGAACTCCAGTGGGAGGCTCCCCTGGGAGTCCATGGGGCCCCTTCTCACCTGCTCTAGCCCCAGCACCCCACCACATGCTCTCATCTCAGACCATTCCCATGCGGTGGGTATTTTTAGCGATCCTGGGGAAACAATGTGCCTGCTTGATGACAAAAGACTTCTCCCCCATTGGGGGGGTCCAAGCCAATGAAAACCCTCTTGGTGTTGCAGGTGAAATGTCGAGAAGTTGTCATGCAGCGTAATAACTCCAACCTTTGCAGGCATAAGAACACATTCTCAAATAAATCCTTTAACTGAAGTCGTGGTTCTGTCTGCGACTCCCCACTTCCAGTTTGGGGTAGGAATTTACACCCCAGGCACAGAGCAAAAGTCTATAGAAAGACAGGCAGTGGTAAACCCAGAAAAGGGGGATTTTTATATCACCGAATAATCACATTTTCTGGTTCTCTAGTGCGTTCCCCCACGGAGCTCAAAACTTTCTGCGAAGCCTTTCATCTCCCTGCAGCAAGTAGGCGGCAAGCTATTGTTGCCCTGGGTTTTGCAGGTGGTGAAAGCTAGTGATCAGGGCTCTCCCGTGGAGGCAGAGGCCAGACCCCCAGACCACCCCGCAGGAGGCATCCACGCACCCACCAGCCTCGCAGAGGGGCGCCGGGTGAGGAAAATGATCCACAGTTCTGGAGTTACAACTCCAAAAGCAGGGGGAAGGAGAAGAAGGGCCCAAAGATGGTGCCAGCCCATAAGCCCCCACCCAGGGTCTAATGGGGACCACGGGCACACAGCACGGATGCCCATCATCGTTTCTGCCTCTTCCTCAGCCGCAGGCCCTCCTGGAAGAAGCGGAAGGCTGGCTTCCTGCTCTTTTCAAGGGGAAGATGAGAAAGATACAAAACGCCACAAGCAGGTGATCAACCAGAAGACACAGGGTCCTCAAGGTTTGCAGGGGTCTGGGGTTCTGCGAGGGAGCCTGGCCACGGCTACATTCAGGAAGGTCCAAGCCTCATCCATCTGCCTGTGCAGAGGCAGGGGGTGGAGAAGATGGCCCCCCACGGCCAAGCCAACAAGGGGAGGCTTCAAATAGACCCTGCCCCTCTGAGGGGGTTCCCGGGATGAGGCCTGCAGGACCAGGGAAGGGACCAGAAAGCCCTAGGGAGGTGGCCACATACAATGGGGCAAGAAGCAGGGTGGCCCTGGCACCACCTGGCACCAACCCCACATGGGCAGCGGGCAGGCGGGCTCACCAGGCCGTCTGGGTCCACTTGCGGCAAAGGATCCTTCGGAAGGCACGGCGAAAGTCCTGGTTGAAGATGGTGTAGATGACAGGGTTCAGCGAGCTGTTGCAGTAGCCAATCCAGAAGAAGAACTGGAAGAGGCCGTGGGGCACCTTGCAGTGTTGAGGGCAGATGGCACCCAGGCTGTAGCTGAAGAAGAAGGGGAACCAGCAGAGCACGAAGACGCCGATGACCACGGCCAGCACGAACGTGAACCGCTTCTCCCGGGTCAGCTGCGTCCGCCGCCGCCACCACTGGCCTCCCGCAGTGCCCTTGCCCCTGCCCAGGAGCACCTGGCCACGTAGGGTTGCCAGCAGCCGGGAACCCTGTGGTTGCTGCAGGGATGGGCTGCAAGCTGAGGCGGGAGACGCTGCCGAGGCCTTCGGCTCACACACCCCCTCCTCCTCTTCAGCCCCCTCCTCTTCTGGAGATGTCCCACAAACACCTTCCTTCTGACCCTGGCCTGAGCTGGGGCGGGCAGGCCAGCTGGATGGCAAGGCGGGGGTCCCAGGGTCTTCAGGGGTCTCCCCCTCGTCCTTCTCCCCAGTGGGCTGGGAGCATCCATTGGCCTCTCCAGCAGTAGCCAGTTGAGAGGCCAGAGTTGGCAATCTGGCTGAGGCTGAAACTTCCCCAGGGACAGGGTGGCGCTGCTTAGACCCACCCTCCCCAGGGCCCCCCTTGGCCCTGGGACCTCTGCAGTGGCTGCGCTTGGCGATCAGATAGATCCGCAGGTAGACAAGGATCATGATAAGGCAGGGTGCAAAGAAAGATCCAATGCTGGAGGCCAGGATGTACCAGGCCTCTTGGTTGAGCTTGCACTGAGGGCGCCCTCGGGGCTGGGGAGCCGGGTCGCCCTTGTAGATGAGGGGCGGCAGCGAGATGACAGCCGCGATGAGCCACACGGTGAGGATGATGCATTTGATGCGGCGCGGGGTGCGCTTGGAGTTGTACTCCAGCGCGCGGCTCACGGCCCAGTAGCGGTCCAGGCTGATGGCACACAGGTGTACGATGGAGGAGGTGCAGAAGAGCACGTCGAGCGCCAGGTACACCTCGCACCAGGTGCGCCAGAAATACCAGTAGCCCAGCAGCTCGTTGGCCAGGGAGAAAGGGATGATGAGCGTGGCCACCAGGATGTCGGCGGCGGCCAGCGACACTAGGAACAGGTTCTGCGGGGCTCGCAGCGAGCGGCTTGTCAGCACAGCCAAGATGACCAGCGCGTTGCCGAAGATGGTGAAGAGGATGAGGAAGGTGATGACCGCCGCGATGGCCGCAGTGGCCTGCACGGAGTAGGGCTCCTGGTGGTCCATGGCGGGGCCGGACGCGGCCAGAAGGGGCGCTGCTCGCCCAGCGCGTGCACAGCCGGCGACAGCGCCTTCCCACCCAGGTCGGCTAGACGAGGGTGTCGACCCCCCGGCTGAGCTGAAGGTGCTGGAGCCCCATGGCCAGGCCGAAAGGGGCCAAGAGGGCGGGGGACGCCCGGGGCCGGCCACCGCCCTCCTACATCCTCTTGCACCGGCGCCCGGGCTCCCTGCCGTCTGCCCCGGAGAAGTTTACCAAGATGTCCCACTGCCGTCCCCGCCCCGCCCGGAACGGAGGGAAAGTTGGGCGCCGCCGCTGGGAGGCTGCTGGACTCACCCTGGGGCGCGGGGCCCCGGCCGGCCGGGCAGGGGGCGCGCCGCCGGTTCTCGGAGGAGGCAAGGAGGGCGAGGCCCGCTCCGCTCCGCCGGCTCTTGCCCGGAGCCGCGTCTGCAGGCAGCCCGCCGCGGCAGTGGAGTGGGGAGGAGAGAGAGCGCGGCTGGAGTAGGGAGGAGACTGGAGGCGGGAGCAGGAGGAGGGAAGGGAGGCGGGGCGGGCGGTGAGACCCAGGGTGGGTGGGAGGTGCGCCTCGCTGAGGGGTGGGCGGACCGCAGCCTCCCGGCGCTCCCGGCCTCCGCCTTGGCACCCCTACTCCGTTTTCCTCCCGGCCTCCGCTCTGCGGCAGGTCAGAGGGGCCCGGCGTCTGGGGTCTTCGGGACCAAGGGAAGGATGCTGGCAGAAGTGGAAGGGTCGGTGCACGCGGGGAGCTGGGACGCGGCGCTGGCGGGTCCGCGGGCGCCGAGGCGGGACGTCTCTCCTGAGGACTGCGGGCTGGGACCGAGCCCCCGGGTGTAGGACAGTGGGCGCGAGCAGACCTCCCCTCCCACCACCCAAGAGCTCCAAGGAGAGGGTGGGTGGGTGTTTCGGGGCGCCGGAGCATAATAAACCACACCCGCTGACCGGAGCCCGCGAGGAAAGAAGCCCAGCGGAGGGCGTGAGGTGAGCCGAGAGACTGCTGGGAACCCCTTCCCCAAATGCTTTTCCGCACAGACTGGACTCCGTCGGGCCTGCGGAGCCCGAGGAGGCGCGCGTGGCCAGGTGGCGAGCGCCCCCTGCCGCCACCCGCCTGCCGAGCTCGTCCGCGGCCCCCAGAGACCCGCCGCCGGCCGCGTCCCGGGGCCACTGAGAAGGCTCCCAAGCCCGGCGCGGGGGGCAAGCGAGTGCTCAGAGCCCGGGCTTGACGACTTCGGCTTTCCCGTTTCTCCTGCAGCTGCCTCAGTTTCCTCCATTAAGGGCAAAGAGGTAAGAAAAAAACCTGGCTTGGACCCAAGTCTCAACAACTGAGACTCAGGCGGAGGCGGGGGCGAGAAGCGGGGGGGGGGGGGGGGGGGGGGGGGGCTTGCAAACTCCGACCTCGTGACCAGTAGGAAGAGGATGTCCCCTGGTGCAGAGCAGGGAGACCTAGTCAAGGGCGGGGTCTTTTTGACACAATTCAGAGAAAATATTGGTCTCAGGGGCAGCTTCGAAGGGAAGAGCTTCCCTTTGCATTTGTAGGGACCCCCCTCCCTGACCCCGCCCCCACCCCGCAGGCTACGCACCCCTCTTGGAGTAGCCCTGGAAAAAGCAGTTGGGGTGAGAAGAAATTCCCGACTAGGCACACACCGCACCCTAACCTCACTCTGGCCTCAAAGAGCTGCGCAGGACCGGCGGTCGTCACACACCCTCCCCCTACCCACGCTCCCTGTGGCCACTGCCACCAGCGCCAGCCTGGGCAGCCTCAAGGGCGCTTTTTTCACCGTTTCCGGAGCCCCTAATGCTGTAACCCCAGCCTAGACCCAGGCCTTATATTGCTAGCCCACAGCTGTGCATGGCATCCTCTGTATAAAGCATCAATCCGCTTCTGAAAGTAAGTCTCCCCCAAAGGACATGACCTTGATCCAGCGTGCCTGCTCCATCTTCATGGGAGCAGAGAGCGTGACCTCAAGGTGCCCACAATGTGTCACCCCTACCCAGGCTCAGACAGGTGGTACCCACCACCCCCCAGCCACATGGCAGAACTGAGGGACATCCTCCTTGACCCTGGGCTCTCCCTGCCTCTTGCCAGCCTACCCAGCTCCCCTGTTAGATAAGAGTGCCTACAGCCTGGTGGGGTAGGTACTACCTAGGCTAGGTTTGGAGAGGCGGCCAGCCTCCCTTGCCCCCTCCAGAGACAGGTTTCATGAATGCATCCTTCGACTTGCTGGGCTTCCACCCCACGGTCGCCAGGGATGGAGAGGCCTCAGAAACCCCTTCCCTGAGGAAGGACAGAGGGGTGGCCTTTCGATCTGGGGAAGCAGCCGCTTAAGCAAGTTCCTGCCTGTCCCCATGGTTCCCTGTCCCACGGCAGGGAATCTCAGCACCCTGGTGGCCCAAATGGGCTTTGAGAAGGACCATTTTTCACCCTCTCCCACCATTCTCGGGCTGGGGGGCCGGTGGGTTTCTCCCCAGACACTGCAGTCAGCAGCAGCCTTTTGTCTGTTGGCTTGTTTTCCTTGAAAGGCCGGGCCTCCAGGCCTCTGCAGGAACTGAGGCCAGGGCTGCTTATACCCACCCCACCCCATCCTTTCCGCCCTACAAATCAATGCTGATTCTCACCTGGGCCTTCCCTGAAGGGGCAGCACCGGGCCCTGCTGGGTACCAGCCTAGGTTGAGGACAGCCAGAGAGAGTCTACAGGAACGCTTGAGGCTCAACCACCACCCAGGCTCTGTGCCACCCGCTGCTGCCTCCCAGCCCCACCCACCCCCAAGACCAGCGGCTGGCTCTCGGGGCAGTGGGCACTGTTACATAACTCGATTCCCGTTCCTCTCTGTGGTCTTCATCTCCCCACACACCCACAGTCCCCAGCTGCCTGCTCCACCGAGCCCTGCATGAATCAGAGCCTCGGGCCCCAGCAGGGCTTCCTTCAGCGCTTCCCAAACTAGACCTGACCTTCCCTCATCATCCTGCTCCACCAGGGCTGGCAGAGGCAGTCCCAGGTCTACAACCAGTCAGCGGCAGGAGCTGCCTAGATAACTCTCAGCCACGTTTAGGGGGAGGGGGAGGCAGTGACAGGCACTGGCCCACCTTCCGGGCCACACCAGGCTACGTGCTGGTCCCCGGACGTGCCCTGAGCTCCCATATCTCTAGTCCTTTCCAGGGGCTGTTTGCTCTGCCAGAAACGCCCTCCTTACCCTTCCTTCTGTGCTTGGTGGACCCCTACTCTGTCTTCAAGGTCTGCTCACCTGTCACTACCTCTCAGGCAGAGGGAGTTACCCTGCCCTCCCTCGGTGCCAGTTTCACGCTCAGAGCGAGATGGAGTCCGATGGTTTGTTGCACCACCCCCTCCATCAGAACAGGCATCACTTCTCTGTCCCCAGCACCTGGCCAAGATTGTTGAAAGGTGAAGAGTAATGGTAGCAGTCATCAGCGGATGGCATACACTTGAGTTTTTCTTAGACAGGTGGTACCCAAATGAAGGCGCCCCCAAGGGATGTCCTTGGAAAGAGGGGCCATGGGGGAAAGGTGACCTAGTAGCATCTTTTCCAAAGAAAGGGGAGACAGTTGTCCCATCCCTGGCTGTGAGAGCACAGCAAGAGATGTGCCACCTTAGTTGAAAGCCCTGGAACCACTTCTCCAGGTCTGAAAGGTGAGACTGGCCCCACTGCCTCCTTGACCAGGGTTCCAGCAGCTCAAGGTGCTGCCCTCCCTGCCCTGAGGGCCCATGGGGATGATCCCCAACCAGGCTTCACCCCCCCCTCCAGCTTTCACCAGAAGCTCCAGCCTTTCAAATCCCTGGGACCCTTACCCCAGACCACCCTGTATGACCCAGCTTCCCCGCCTCCCCAGACCCTTGAGTCGTGCCCTGTGTGATGTAAGTTAATCATTCTCCCTCCCTCCATCACACCTCTCCTGACAAAACCCCAACCCTGGTCAAACCTAAATCATCCACCCTGCCTTTGACCAAGCACCTGCTTTTTCCAGAGCAAAACACGCACTGCATCGAGCCTCGCTTTAAATTCACGACCGCAAATCTCTAGACTTCCCTAGTGGGCTCACTTACCCATGCTTCACAATCGGCATCCCCCTCCTGCCCACCCCCTACCCGTACGCTGTAACTTTGCTTTGTACTTAAGAGAAAATGGAAGCCATCTGGCAGGCACCCATCCCCCAAGCACACCTGTATCCGAGTTGCATCTCCACTCTTAGGGCAAGTCCTTGGCATATGCCCTGGACCCCAACCCCTCTCATGTCCCCCAGGACTCTGCTCCTTCAATTACCCCCTCACCAGCTATCACTCCCCCACTCTAAGGGCCAGCCCCCTCCTTAAGAAGCCCTCCATGCCCCCCTGCAGCCGCCATCTTCTCGTTTGCCTGGTCATTGTCTCTAATCCCTCACATTCTCCCCTTCACCCTTGTAGGACGTCTGCACCCCACCCTCCACTGAATCTCCTCCTGGTGGGTCATTTGTGACTCCACGCCAAGTGCCAGGCTCATTCTGAGTCCTGTTCTTACTGTTTCTCAGCAGCATTTTATACGATGGACCCTTCCTGGGGGACACTCTGCTCCCTCCTCACAGGCCACTTCTCAGTTTCCTTTCCTTCTCCCAAATCCTAAATCAGTGATTCTCACAGAGTGATTTTTGCCCCTTCCTAGGGACATTTGGCAGCGTCTGCAGACATTTTTGACTTTAACCACAGGAGGAAGGGGGTTGCTACTGGCATCTAGCGGGTAGAGGCCAAAGATGCTACCAAACATCGTACAAGGTCCAGGACACCGCCCCACACACTCCCTGACCCACCCATTTGACGTCTAGTAGCCTCAGACTTCACACACCCATTTCCCCTGAACCAGGTCTCTCCTCTCAGTTCTCACTGCTGAGATGCCCTCAGCCCCTACATCCAACCGCAAGTACGCTTGCCTCAACCTCCAAAACATAGTCCCAAAGCACCCACTTCTGCCCCTTTCCATGACCTTCACTTGCACAACTGCAGTGGCTACCAGCTGTTCTTCCTGATTCCAATTCGTTTTCCAGGGAGTATCCGGCATGACTTTTTAAATTTTAAATCAGATCTTGTCACACCCTTCCTTAGAACCTTCCAGCAGCTGCTCCCTGTTGCTCGTGAAATAAAACCATCGCTTTCTGGCTGACCAGGTCT